TCATGATGTATTACAGGGGGACACATGTGACAACTTGTCATTGTGGATAACAACTTGGGACATCATCACATCATCTTTGTGAAACAGGTAAGTTTATTTCTTTTATTTTCCCTTTTGAATATGAAGATTGACTGCTGTTTGAAGGCGTTATATTATTGTGATAATATAGCTTTGATACACACAGCCAATACAGTCTTGGTTTGAAATTTTAAGCTCTTTATTACTGGATTCAAGCAAGATTCACTATCAAAAATAAAAGAACAGAGTTCCAATGTCCCCCACATTGCACATATTTTATCTATCCAATGTACAAGGGCAACAACTAAATAAAAAACATTTTTGTTTTGTTCTATAAGACATTAATATCTTAGAGAAATAAAGGCTTCAGAGCAAATGCAATATAATTTCCATTATAATTAATATTTCCAATGGGCATCATTCATTAAAAATATTTGATCAGAACTTATTTTCAAACTCTTCAAATACATTGATGATATAAACCTATAATATAAATTTCATAAAAATCTGGCAAAGAATTGTAAATATTAGAGCGCTCATAAGGTAATTTTCCATATAAATAATATTTCCAAGGGGCATAACTCTTTTATAAATTTTTGATCAGCACTGATTTTCGAACTCGTCCAAGACATTGCTGATATAAACTTATGATATAAGTTTCATAAAAATCTGGCAAGAATTGAACAAATTGGAGTGCTAACGATGCAATTTTACATATAATTAATGTTTCCAAGTGGCATAACTCTTTTAGACATAATTGATCGGCACTGATTTTCGAACTCGTCCGAGACATTGCTATTATGAACCTATAATATAAGTTTCATAAAAAAATCTGGCAAGAACTGAACAAATGAGAGCGCTAACGATGCAATTTTTCATATAATTTTAAATATAATTGATCGGCACTGATTCTCAAACTCATCCAAGACATTGCTGATATAAACCTATGATACAAATTTTTATAAATATCTGGCAAGAATTGAACATGTGAGAGCGCTAACAAGACCGGACTGACAGACGCACAGGCGGACGACCGGTATTTCTATGTCCCCCACAGCGTATGGAATGGTGACACATAAACTTGTTTATGCTGTTCTAACATAAACCAATCAGCCGAGGGGAGCACTAAGTGGTTGGGATGAGCCTCTAGAATAGGCAACTTTTTCACGTTTCATAATATATGAAAAGGTCATGAAAAAAGATGAAATATATGATCATGCTGGTGATAAAATCATAAGTATCTGAAACTTATCAGATTGGGATGTTTTACAGATGATATTAAAACCACAGATGTAAATGCATTAGATTTTTATCAAATATGCTATTCTCTCCATGAAAAAGGGTAATTATGAAAGCTATAGCTGTATTTTTTGTAAAAAAAATATGCTGGGAAGGTATTTTTGTAATTCGTAATGTCTGAAAACGTTGGGGTACTGGATTTCTTGGTCTTTTCATCACTACCACAAATAGAAGTGCTCATAAACATCAAAATACTTATAGTTTCTCTCTGAAAAACAGATCTTATTACTAAAGCTTAACTTTGACCCATGAACCATGAAGATGAGGTCAAATTCAGATGAATCTTGTCTGACATCTAAATGTTCTCTGGTTAAAAGTACTTTACAATAAAATGACCGTGAGATAGTTGGGACAAATTATGGCAGTATTTATTATATTTCTATGCCAGATATAATAACAATGTGTTGGTATTACTGCAAATACACATTTGTTGTATGATTGACAGCTAGCAAATATCTATCCTATTGGTTCTGATTGGCTTTTTGTAAGACCCTGATGGTACATTCTGTTAGTCAGTGTGAGGACTGTCAGGTTGACTACTAGTTTAGAGAGCTTATGTTACAGCTCTGAACTGGAGCCTGCATTTTTGGGACCATTTGTTCCTCCCACATGGTTATCTCTTCTAGTGGTGCTGTCCTCTTATGGTTATCAGTTATACTACTCCACTCCCATTTGTGTGGTACCTGGCTTTGATCTGAATTGTCACGGATTGCCAGTTTTCTTGCCTTTTTTAACCAGGACAAGAGTGCACACTCTGAAATGTCTCGGCTGCATATTTTTTTTACAAGAGGCTGTCGAGTGACAGCAAACTGGATTTTCCTGCAGAGGTTGAATGGTTTCGGGGTTGGGATCTCGACCATTTACAAGTTTTCAAAAAGAAGGGGGGTGGGGGTGACCCCCCCCCCCCTCCCATGGACTTCCCCTATATTTCATTTGATTTGTTTTATTGTCCCATACATGAATATATATGGTTTCGGGGTGGGATCACGACCGTTTACAAAAATTTTTCAAAAAGAAGGGGGGTGGGGTGACCCATGTGGACTTCCCCTATATTTCATTTGATTTGTTTTATTGTCCCATACAAGAATATATATGGTTTAGGGGTGGGGATCTCAACCGTTTACAAGTTCTAAAACTGGAGGGGGTGGGGGTGACCCCAGGGACTCCCCCTATATTTCATTTGATTTGTTTTACTGACCCATACATGAATATATATGGTTTTGGGGTGGGGATCTCGACCGTTTACAAAAAGTTTTCAAAAAGAAGGGGGTGGGGGTGACCCCCCTATATTTCATTTGATTTGTTTTATTGTTCAATACAAGAAGATATATGGCTTTCTACAAGTTCTCAAACAGGAGGGGGTGGGGGTGACCCCAGGGACTCCCCTAACCTATTTTGGTCCAATATCCAAAATCTAAGTACATTACTAGAATCAGCATATCAAAGAACCTTAAGAATTCAATTTTTGATGAAATACTTCTTAGTTAAACCATTTCTGTTCAGAGGGAAATACTCAAACTTTTATTTCCATGAACCAATAATGTAAATCTAAAATTTAATATGATTTAACCATACCTCTCTTAAATTATATATGAGGTAATTAGATATGATGTTATATTTATTTTCAAACTATAATAAAATATAATTAATAGTTTTCAAATAAATCTGTCATTCCAATTATAACAGGGTGATTGACAATTACCAGATGGTGTGTTATCTTGATAAAAGGAGTGTAATCAAACTTTATATATATGCAATCATGAATTTAGTTAATAGTTCCAACTATTTTTTCTTTGATTTGTAACAAACTAATATAGATCTGCAACTTATCAATGAATGTCTTCAACTTTATCTACACAATGAGATGTAATGAAATATATCCTTTCATAAAAATAGATTATTATCTAATAAATTTGCAAATCTGGAACCCCAAACAGGATCAAGTAAAAATATAATTATTAGTAATGTAATTAACTTCAAAATGTCTATCTCTTAAAAACCTATAAAACTTATCTGTAATTATCTTCAAAATGTCTAATAATGAACAGTAAATTTCATTTATACAGTCCTACTAGTAAATTTCAAACTTTATGTATACAGTCCTACAGATCTTATCAGGAAACAGAAAATTTTCAAATAAATCTGACACCCCAATGATTATCATATGCTAAGATATTTACCAGATCTAATTAATGATGAAAATCATACTAGCAAATCTGAAGGGTTATTTCCCTTTGAACAGAACTATGGTTTAACATAGTACTCTAACATTACATATATAATAGTTAATAATGTAATTAACTTCAAAATGTCTTTAATAAAGTTTATAATCCTCACCACTTAGGAAATAGAAAATTTTCAAATAAATCTGTCACTCCAATTTTTATTGTGAGATAAGACACTTACCATATGCTTAGTCATAATATGATAACAAGAGAAAAATATTTAAAAATACCACTTTTGGATATTAAAAATGACGATAACTCAAAAAGGAGAAATACTAAAATCGTGAAGATTGAACTTGACCTTCATTTAGTCACAAGAAACAACATATCTAAATTTGAAAAAAAATCATCACAGCGTTTTCATGTTATTGAAGAAACACTGTTTGGCAGCCGCCCGTCCGCCCGCCGTACATCCCCAAATCAATAACTGATATTTCCTTCGAAAATCCGGTTAAAAATCATAATTGAATAATAATGAGGTCAAGGTTAAATGAACTCTGCCAGACAGACAAGACATGTTCACCTTACTATCATTTCATACACCAAATATGGTTGGACTACTGCTTATAGTATCTCATTAACTGACAAAACCATCACTGTTAACACAGAGAAATGTCTAGCCTTTTTGTTATTTTGATAGTGAAATGCTAATGTTGAAATTAAAGTAGCATACTTTATCATGTAAGTTATGCATAATATGCAAAGCCAATAGACCATCACTGAGGGACTAGGCCAAATAATTTCCATGGAAATGAGATGTGCCAATGTTAATACAACTGCAAACCAAATATCAGTGACCTACTACTATTGGTACTCCATAAACTGACCTAATCACAAACTAATACATGTAAAGTATGCAAAAGTTTCAAAGTCAATAGATTATGATTGAGAGGGCAGGGCCAAATAATCTCCTTGGAAATGAGATGTGCCAATGTTAAACAACTGCATACCAAATATCATTGACCTACCACTAGTGGTTCCCCATAAACTGACCTGATCACAACCTAATACATCATTGATGACAACGCCGCCACCAGAACCAGCATACCTGTGTTTCTCTTTTTGACTGCGTCAAGTCAAAACAAAAACTTAACATTGACCAATGATCCATGAAAATGGGGTCAAGGTCAGATGAAACCTGCCTGACAGATATGTACACTTAACAATCATCCCATACACCAAATATAGCGGCCCTATTGCTTATCATTACTGATCAACTGACAAATCTATGAAAACTTAACATTGACAAATGAACCATGAAATAAAGGTCAAGGTTACATGTATATGAAACCTACCCGACAGATGGGTATAAATGAGCTAAAAAGTAGTTTGACCCCTCAACATATCCTTGTGCCTGTAGTCCAAAGTCAGGAAAGTCCCCTTATTGTTTGTCCTTTGTCATATTCTTCACTTAATACAACTGACTGCTACAAACTGTTCTGTTTCATTGAAATAACATCAAACAAACAATTTATTTTCGATCATCAAATATGTTTCACATCTTTTTTTATCATGTTTATCGCTCAAGCTTGAAAATACAAACAAATGTTAACAAATCATGGAATTGTTTTTTCTGATATCATACCACTGACGCTATATTATATAGTCTGCTTATATATAAGCAATTGTCACTATTCAATCACCACTGAGCACGTGTAACACCAGACAAATTATTATAGTCTGCTAATATTCTCCACTGAATCCGACTTAGTCTCCATCTTCGTAATCTTCCTCGTGCCTTTCCTGTCAAAATGCATCGTGGGTATGTGTGGGTAACAGAACTTCTTCTTGGCAACTCATGTAATTCTGTTGCAACTAACTCCTGGAATGATAAATTGAGAAAAAAACATGGTTCAGTCTTCGGATTGTGATTAATTGGATAAGAATCTCACGATTCTCACTAAAACGAATCCATGAGTCCTGGACTTATGAAAATCTGTCTGGACTCATTTTACACTGGTCAGTCCAAAGAGGCATCAAGATTGTATCAACTGAGTCCACTTATCATTAGTTCATAGCAAATGTTAAAAAATGAAAGTTTCTACTTAGGTTTTTAAAATAAGTCTTCATTTCAGGACCATGGAAGTAATTTTTGGATTTTATTAATTCTTAACAAAATGTCATATTGTCACAAGAATATTCCTGTAAAACAATATTTTGTACACAGTAAATGGTACAATACCAGTATCTGTAGTTCAGCAGAAACTGAATATCTTTTAAAACTAAAAGACACCCAAAAACATTTCTTCTTACATTATGTCTTAATGAATCAAGCTATAACAGAGTTCTGGAGAAAAAAAATTTTCGGTGGTCCTTGAAGAAATCTGCTGGTACTCACTATTATTTCTATTGCAAAAAACCCAAAATTGTGTCAGTCCTTTGCAACATTTTGGTGTTTAAAACCTTCACTTTTTGAGGACTTTGTTTATATCCTGCATGATGGTGTTTGAATTTGACTGACTTCATGAACTGGACAAAGTCAAAATACTTATACACAAGTTATTGTCCTGAAACTAGAAAAAAACTGCTTCGCTGAGCGCAGCTGGATACGCCCGCAGAGGTCTAACCCTGATCAGTTGGGGCAAAAATGGACACAATATTCAAGCTTGATACAGGTCTGAATTTGGATTGTAATTAAATATTTGATATACATCTATTATAGGTTTCTGAATAAATGTAGTCAAAGAACTTGAAGTTGGTTATATGAATTGAATTTATATTCAATTAAAGATTTCTTGCTGTTGTGCAATACACTGTGCTGTTGCGCAATACTTAGTAAATCTGTTGTCAGACTATAAACAAATAAAATTTATAAAATTCTAAAGGGAGCTCACATCAATAGATATAAACAGTTCACCAAAGTTGCATACGAATTGCTGAAAGCATTTTTGAGTTTTGTCTGAAAACTGGAAAATCCCCCCTTTTTTAATGAATACACCCCATAATTCGGAAATGTAAAATCTAAAATTCATAAAATTCTAAAGGCAGCTTACATCAATAGATATCAACAATTCATCAAAGTTTCAAGAGAACTGCTGAAAGCATTTTTGAGTTATTGTCCGAAAACTGGAAAATCCCCCTTTTTTTTATGAATAAAACCCCATAACTCGGAAACGTAAAATCTAAAATTTATAAAAATCCAAAGGGAGCTCATGTCAATAGATATAAACAATTAACCAAAATTTCTTGCAAGTTGGTGAAAGCATTCTTGAGTTATTGTCCGAAAACTGGAAAATCCCCCTTTTTTTAATGAATAAAACCCCATAACTCGAAAACGTAAAATCTAAAATTTATAAAAAACGAAAGGGAGCTCACGTCAATAGATATAAATAATTCACCAAAGTTTTAAGCAAATTGGTTAAAGCGTTTTTGAGTTAATGTCCGACATGTTGACGACGGACGGACGGACAGACGGACATACAGACGGACGTACAACAGTATACCATAATACGTCCCGTAAACGGGCGTATAAAAATGCTTGTTTTGGCCCCTAATTCCTAGACGATTGGGACCATCACCCCCAAAAACAATCCCAACCTTCCATTTGTGGTATTGAACCTTTTGGTTAAATTTCATAGAGATCCATACACTTAAAGTAGATAGGGTGTCTTCCTCCATCTTGGATTTTGAAATACCAGAAAACAATCGGTCTAGATCTTTAATAAAATGTGCAAATTTTGAGAGTATTGGGTAATTCATGTGTAAGAATTTTCAATTCAATATAGAAAATGACATGTTTTATCATATTTATAATCATGATAATTGTATTTTACAAAAAACAGAATACTTTTGTTAGATTCAATTTTTTCCAACTTTGCCACATGAGGGGAGGCAACTCAAATCTAAGGAAAGATCATTCAGATAAAGTTACTTTTACAATAGAATGTGTTAGGAATTTACCTATTTTATTATGTAGCAAGAAAACGGGTCCCGTGACCCCATTTTTTCTTTTTCTTATCTGAAATCATAATATTGGAGCTATCTTCTCATATTTTATCTCAAAATTCTATGGAGTAGTTTTCGTTTTATGGCAGAAAATTGGGTTTTCCATGCATAATCTATACAAAATCTGTCAATTTTGCACAACCTGTAGCGTGAAAATAAGCCCCGTGACCCATTCTTTTTATTATTTTTTTTAAATAAGCATGATATAAACTACATTTTGGCAAATTATTAAAAAATTCTATGGATTATAATTTAGACACCCCATCTACTTTAAACTAAAAATATTGTCCGGAAACCAAATGTTGGGACAATGCTGACGACGACGACGTGATACCAATATACGACCACAAAAATTTTTTGCGTATAAAAATTAGCTACCTCTTTAAATAGTCAGATTCTCATCCAAGTTATTATGAAAATTTTATAATTTTATCAATACAATACAAACAAGGGATATTTGAATTCAAATAATTGGAATACTATATAATACATGTTTCTAAATCAATCAGCAGAAGTGCTATAAAGGACAATTTCACTTTCTATCCTGAAAAAAAAAAGGAATACTTTTTTTGTGACTTCCAATTTTCAAATTTCTGTTTAATATTGACTGTTATTCAGAGAGTTTTGTCCTTTCACAATATAGCAGTTTGAATTCATCTCTACAAACTAACTGATAATGTAATCAAGCATTTGTAAGAGTATATTATTTAACTCGCTCAAAAGGAGATACCATTATTATACTTAAATTTACCTGTGTACGTTATTTTATTTAACGCCATTTTGTCCAAGGTTATAGTTGTCTTTTTGACATTGTTTTAAATCCCCCCCTTTTTTATTCAATATTTTATTGATAATGTGTCATAGATCAAATTATTCGTTCAGTGTATGTTTACTTGTTTTTGTTAGTATGTCCTTTTTGATTGAGTGAAGCCATTTCAATTGATATGTTATAGTGTGTCTTTCTATGTTGTAATGTTACACTACTATTTCAGGTTAAGGTGAAGGTTGGCGCCTGTTAAAACCCGCTGCATTTGTTTGCATCTGTCCAAAGTCAGGAGCCTGTTTCAGTGGTTATCGTTTGTTGATGTGGTTCTTAAAAAAAGTGTTTCTTGTTTTTTATATCATGTGTATATAGATAAGACAGTTGGTTCCATGTTGAAGGCCGTACTTTGACCTATGATTTACTTTTTACACATTGTGACTTGGATGGAGAGTTATCTCATTGGCACTCATACCACATCTTTTTATTTCTATACACAACAGCATGAACACAGAAACTGCCTGAAAAACTTACTAATACTTCTAGGAAGCTTTAGGAGAGTCTAAGATATTATAGTTTTTACAAAGAGTAAGTTTTTCATGTCAATTTGGAATAACAAATAGTTGTTACATATATATACGTCAGATAAAGTAATTAAACTTGGAATTTTTTTTTTTTGGAGTGTAGAAGAAAAGATGGCTTCGTCCAATCTGAGGACATAGGAATGCTCGTTCCAATATTTCTTAAAAAATTGTATAATTTTACAGATTATCTTTATATGACCTTTACCTTGAAAGGATGAGGTAAAACTCGGCTCTTTTTCATAGTTACAAGTCTCAATCGTTGTGGTCCATATTGTTTAATTAATTTACGATTGTTATAGTCTCTGTTTGCTGCCCATTTTAACAGCCTTTTTTGATGATTAAATTTTGGTTCTGCAAATGGATCAAACTCCTTTGGTTGGTCTGCACATGTTCTAATCTGTATGCACGGTTTCCATGGTGAAGAAAATGTTTCTGTCAGTGGCTTTGACAACAAAGGAACCTACAATAAAGTATCAACAATTAATATACTGTGGATTTAGTCGGTACAGATGAACCATAAATTTAAATGTTTAATAAAGTACAGGGGGGGGGGGGGGGGTCCCAACCCAGGATAAAGGGGGGTTCCAATTATATGTCCTCATTCAAATGCATTGATTGTCAAAAAAAAAGGGGGGGTTCTCCTCAATCCACGAAAATTGGTACACACGAAAAAATTAATTAATCAGGTATACAGACCATGAATGGCAAAATACCTAAGCGCGACAATTCAATCAGACCTAAAATGGCACAGTCACTTAAGCAACATCTGTAATTAGGCTAACAGCACACTTGGTTTTCTACGTGTAATTAGGCTAACAGCACACTTGGTTTTCTACGTGTAATTAGGCTAACAGCACACTTGGTTTTCTACGTGTAATTAGGCTAACAGCACACTTGGTTTTCTACGTGTAATAAGGCTAACAGCACACTTGGTTTTCTACGAAGGAATCATAACATTAGTTCCACCTCAGTAAAGGCATATAAATCTTTAGTCAGACCATCACTAGAATATACGCCTGTTCAGTCTGGGACCCTTACTTTACTGAGGATATAAACAATTTTGAAAAAGTACAAAGAAGGGCTGCTAGATTTGTCACTAACCAACACAGAAACACCCCAAGTGTAAGTGACATGATAAATCACCTAAAATGGAGAGACCTTGCACACAGAAGAACAGACACACGCCTTGACATGTTTTATAAAATTTCATATCAACTCATTGCAATCACAATAAAATGCTCTGCTGGGGCGCAGCTTGATACGACTGCAGAGGTCAAACCCTGAACAGTTGGGGCAAGTATGGACACAACATTCAAGCTTGATACAGCACTGAATTTGGATTGTAATTAAATATTTGACACAGCATAGATTTCTGACACAGAATGAATGTGGTCTAAGAACTTAAAAATTTTTAATTTACCTACTGTGGATTCATTATTATTCGTTGGATACCAATTTTCGTGGTTTTCGTGGGTACAGGTGAACCATGAATTCAAATGTTCAACGAATAACTAAATTTCTATGGGATTTGTGTGCAGAGATAGACAAAACCACGAATTCAAATATCCACGAAAATGCAAGTTTTCCTCAATCCACGAAAATTGGTACCCACGAAAATAAATGAATCCACAGTATTCAACATGTTTAAACCATATCATTATTATTTGCTTTTATATATAAATCAGAAATAACCAATTTAAAATGGAAAATTTTAAAGAAAAAAAAAAGGAAAACAATATCCCCCCCCAATTTTTTGAACCCCCTTATGAATCATCACCCCCAAACTCAATCCCAGCCTTCCCTTTGTGGTATGGTACCTTGCAGTACAATTTCAGAGAGATCCATACACTTGAACACAAGTTATTGTCTGGAAACTAGAAAAATGCTTGTTTTTTGGCCCCTTTTTGGCCCCAAATTCCTAAACGTTTAAGGCAATTACTCCCAAACTCAAACCCAGCTTTTCCTTTGTGATATGGAACCTTGTAGTACAATTTCATAAAGATCAATACACTTACACACAAGTTATGTTCCTGAAACTAGAAAAATGCTTGTTTTTTTGCCCCTTTATGGCCCCTTAAATTCCTAAAATTTGTAGGCAATTACCCCAAAATCAATCCCAGCCTTCCCTTTGTGGAATGGTACCTTGCAGTACAATTTCAGAGAGATCCATACACTTGAACACAAGTTATTGTCTGGAAACTAGAAAAAAGCTTATTGTTGGCCCCTTATTCCTAAATGTTTTGGGCAATTACCCCCAAACTCAATTCCAGCTTTCCCTTTCTGATATGGAACCTTGTAGTACAATTTCATAAAGGTCCATACACTTACACACAAGGTATTGTCATGAAACTAGAAAAATGCTTGTTTTTGCCCCTTTTTGGCCCCTAATTCCTAAAATTTGGAGGAAATTACCCCCAAAATCAATCCCAGCATTCCCTTTGTGATATGGAACCTTGTGCTTCAATGTCAGAGAGATCCATACACTTACACACAAGTTATTGTCATGAAACTAGAAAAATGCTTGTTTTTAACCCCTTTTTTGCCCCTAATTCCTAAAATTTGGAGGCAATTACCCCCAAAATCAATCCCAGCATTCCCTTTGTGATATGGAACCTTGTGGTACAATGTCAGAGAGATCCATACACTAACACACAAGTTATGTCTGTAAGTAACAAAAATGCTTATTTTTGGCCCCTTTTTGGCCCCTAATTTCTTAACTGTTGGTACCATAACCCCCAAAATCAATCCCAACCTTCCTTTTGTGGTATTGAACCTTATGGTAAAATTTCATAGAGATCCATTCACTTAAACTAAAGTTAGAGTGCAAAAACCAATGTGTCTTCGGACGACGACGACGACGACGAAGATGAAGACGACGCCAACATCATACCAATATACGACCGCAAAATTTTTTTGCGGTCGTATAAAAACAGACAGACTAACATTACTAATACATCCGCTCAGACAGTCTCAGGACATGCACACACTCTCATACCAAATTCCATCTTGCAGAACACAAATACGCCAACAATCATATTTTCCATGTACTATTAAAATCTGGAACAGCCTTCCTCTGCGTATTGTGATGAGCGACTCTGAAGAGTCGTTCAAAGCAGCTGTCTCAACCTTCACCTACAGTCAATAAATTTATCCTGTGTTTATCTTATATAAAAAAAACAAAATAAAAATGTGCACTTTGTAAAAATGTTAAAATTGATTTTGTTAAAAATTCTAAAATTATTAAATTTCACTGTATATACGTTTCCATTATGCCATGCGTAGTACAAGTGACATAAACTTCAATGTATTGAAGGCGGTCACTTCAAAGTAGAAGCAAAGTAGAAGAAGTAGAAGTGCCTCTTTTAACTACTGATTTATCAGACTATGTTCCAGTGTGTACTGAATACAAGGACCTATAGATGCCTTTGTTTAATGTTGTTAATCACTTAGGCCAATTAAAATTAATTGATAGATTTTCATCCCCGCCGGACCCTCTGAAATCGTCCCGCCCCAATTTTTTTTTATTTTTTAAAATTTACAATTTCTGGATTTTGTTCATTTCCTTTACCATGTTAACCATGTTAACTGGTAACCACCGATTATTTCGTTCCATTCAAAACTTCCTGTTTCAAATTTCGGTTTTCTTCCAGTAAATTATTATAAGTCGACACATTCTTCTGCTCAATGATGACAATGGATGACAACATTATCTTCTGAGAATATAGATTAATATTGATTACTAAAAGGGCATGAAATAATTGGGTTATGAGTAATAGGCGGTGTCCAAGAACGCTAATTGCGGTATATCACAAATTTCAGTGATTGGAAGGTTTTTTTTATTAATACATGTACAATGACTTTGTGTCAGGAAATTTGGACTGTGAATGATATCCAAAGCGCAAGAATCGTGGAACACATTGATACAAACACATGACTGGAATAAAGTAATTGACACAAGCACGAACTTGTGCGATTTATGACCGTATATTGAGTACAAAGAGTCGGCCAACGTACAAAATGTATTATAGCAAGTCCTTAGATTTACCCAAAGACTGTCGTTTTTGTTGATAAACAGCAAACACCCTCTGTCCCCAGCCCCTCAATAGAGTCGTTAAACAACTTCTTTTTGGTTTTAAATAGTTCATTCATGTTTTACATTGTAATAATATTTGCACCTTGCATGAGAATCTTAAAAGCATCAACCCTAGTATTTTCAACACAGTTTGAGTTTTCATTTCACTCTGTACTCATCATGGTCATATTTTGTGTGTTGCATACCAATGCATATATATATACTTCATTTTTATGGGCACTACGAATTATAGCTTAGAAAGCAAAATAAATTTGATCAAGGTAGTCTAAAAGAGAACATTTCTCCACGTTTTTGCTATTTACTAATAAAATGCTCCGCTGGGCGCAGCTTGATACGACCGCAGAGGTCGAACCCTGAACAGTTGGGGCAAGTATGGACACAACATTCAAGCTTGATACAGCTCTGAATTTGGATTGTGATTAAATATTTGACACAGCATAGGTTTCTGACACAGAATGAATGTGGTCTAAGAACTTAAAAATTTTAAATTGGACATTCACCTATTATGGTCCAATATCCAAAATCTAAATACATGGTTAGATTCAGCATATCAAAGAACCCCAAGAATTCAATTTTTGATGAAATCAAACAAAGTTTAATTTTGGACCCTTTTGACCTCAATGTAGACAAAGTTGATAAAGGGGCCCAAAAATAAAAAATCTAAATGCATGGTTAGATTCAGCATATCAAAGAACCCAATATATTCAATTTTTGTTGAAATCAAACAAAGTTTAATTTTGGACCCCGATTTGGACCAACTTGAAAACTGGGCCCATAATCAAAAATCTAAATACATGTTTAGATTCAGCATATCAAAGAACCCTAAAAATTCAATTTTTGTTAAAATCAAACTAAGTTTAATTTTGGACCCTTTGGACCTTAATGTAGACCAATTTGAAAACGGAACCAAAAATTAAGAATCTAAATACACGGTTAGATTCGGCATATCAAAGAACCCCAATAATTCAATTTTTGATGAAATCAAACAAAGTTAAATTTTGGACCCTTTGGACCTCAATGTGGACCAATTTAAAAACGGGGCCCAAAATCCAAAAACTTAATACACGGTTAGATTCAGCATATCAAAGAACCCCAAGAATTCAAGAATAAAACCCCATTGAAATTGATCAAGAAATAAGCAATTTATACGAAGTATCTTCTTTTGCACAATACTGTGCAATTGAATATTTCTTGCTATTGCGCAATACTGTACAATTGACAATTTCTTGCTATTGCGCAATATTGTGCCAATGGATATTTCTTGCTATTGCGCAATACTGTGCAATTGAAGATTTCTTGCTATTGCGCAATACTGTGCAATTGAAGATTTCTTGCTATTGTTCAATACTGTGCAATTGAAAATTTCC